GGAAGGGACATGAGGGAACTTTCTAGCATGACAGTAATGTTCTGTATCTTGACAGAGGTTTGAATTGTACAAATTATGCATTTGTTATAACTCACCGGCTGGTACAATTAGGATCTGTGTGTCTCACTGTATGTAAATTTTACCTCAAAAGAAATAAAATACATGCAAATATTAAACTCTAACTGATGATATGCATGCTAAAGAATTTGAGTACTGATGTCTCCAACTTATTCTGAAATACACTGAAAAAGAAGGTTGATCAATAGCTGGATAGTGGGATGGATAGATGGATAGAAATGTGATATAGCAAATATAGTAAAATCTTAATTATAGAATCCAAGTGGAAATATATGGGTGTTCACTGTGTCATTCTTTCAACTTCCCTATTGTATTTGCAATTTTTCGTAATATACTGAAAGGAAAAAAAGAAATACCAAAATCTGACACTAATCCAGAGAAATAAACATTATTTCAAAAAGAACTTTCCAAAGTACATTTTTACCTTACAAGGTAACTTCTAAGTTCTCCTCGGTAATTGATGACTAGGAGTTCTGCAGACCACTGTGCACTTGCTTTGTATTCTAAAAATATCAACCCAGCAATGGCATAGCTCAGATCACCTGCAAAACTGGATGCCTGTAGGAGAGTGAGACATTAAGTTACTAAAAACATACTAGATAAACGTTAACACATGCATAACTGGAGAATATTTGAGACACTGACTTTGCCAGTTATACTTTAAATAAGACAGCTCGAGAACTGTCCTGTATAATCAAAAATCATGTGAGTCAGAATCTAGAACTAAACACTCAAATCTAGACCAGCCTTTCTAAACACAGGCTAGAACCACAGCAGCCTCTTTGAATGAGATATTCATTGAGATAAGTAAATTTCTATTCAGACTATGTGTCCATTACAAAAAAAAAAAGAAAAAAAGTAATGCCTCAGAGAACTCTAAGAACCTGTTCCCAGAGACAAACTCCCATATGTTAATTTCCACTGCTAGCAGTAACCCACGATAAAAAAAAAAAAAGTCTCTAATTATTTGCCATTTGTCTAATCAGCAACTTAAACGAAAGGACATTTAAAACACTCAATGTCAACCTTCTTCCATCAACTAAGTATCAGGCTGTATTGCTAAAGATCTGAAAGCCTGTGCCCCTCAGGAAGCACACATAATAAAGTTTATCACTCTTGAAAGGGATCAGTATATGCCATCCCAAAATACATCACTTTGGCAAAAGGTTTATTTTGAGCTGAAGGCAACTGAGAATCAACAAATGCCTCCCCTTATCTGCCTAAAAACAAGGCATAAATTTCTCTTTGTGGAAGTGCCCCTCTGTACCAGGAAGAGGAGATGGGATCACCAGAAACTAAGAGTCACGCCAAAATGAGTCTGCATAAATAGACCTTATTAAATAACTCTTGTCTTCCATTAGCTTCCCTCATATATTTCCTAGTCACTTTCCCACAATTTACCATCTCTGGAAGCCCAAACTCC